TGTCAAAAAAAAAGAAAAGATAATCAGTGATTTTTTTCCCCTCTTGACTATGCCTCAGTTTGCTCCACCTAAATGTGTCCTCCCAAAATTCAGTGGACGCCCTAGCTCCCAGAGTGACAGTATTTGGAGGAGTCTTTGGAAAGGATTAGGATTCGATGAGGTCCTGAGGGTGGGGCCACTGAGATAAGCATCATTACACAGCTCTCGATTTCTCTACTCTTGATGCAATCAGTGAGCAAAGACCACCTTAGCAGATAGCCAGACCCTCACCAGGTCCCAAACCTCCTGGCACCATCTTGGACTTTTACTGCTGTGAGACATAAATGTCTGTTAGTTAACCACCAGTGGGTGACATTTGGTTGTGGCAGCCTAAGAAACTAAGGCAGAGAGAAATGAGGTTTAAGTTATTTAAGTGAGATCTACCCACAAAATTACTTGAAAGGAAAGCAATTATTGAGTAGCTTTACTGAGAGCAGCATGCCCAGCAGCAGAAACAAAAACCAAAAGAGGGTCCAAATAGATACCTATCAAGAAGGAAATCAACCTGAAAATGAGCAAAGGGAAGATAAGCAACTTCAATAGACACTGAATTCACACACAGGATACCTGGGAGCCCTCCTCTGAGACCAGGAAGAGCCTCCCTCCCTACTACTAATGTCACTAAAAAGTGAACTACACCTGATGGTCAAGATCTATAATTCTAGCTACTCAGGAGACTGACTTGGAGGATAACAGGCCTACTTGGGCAAATAAGTTCAAGACAGCTCAGTGGTAGATAATTACCAAACACATGAGACCTCAGGTTTCATTCCCCAGAATGTATGCATTTATATACACACTAATACACACATACATGTACACCAAACTTGTTCACACTGCTGAACTCACTTAGCTACTCTAGACTGATAACTATGGTCAGAAGTAGTTACTAGGCCACAAAATCATCACATACCAACCTTTCACTGCCATAAAGACTTTGGCTGAAGATTATAAGTAGTAATTAAGATACATCTTATCTATCTTATCTTATACTGCAGCCAAATTCCTAGAAAAGTACATAAAAACACAAATTTGGCAGGGGGTGTTCAAGACAGGGTTTCTCTGTGGCTCTGAAGGTTGTCCTGGAACTCGCTCTGTAGACCAGGCTGGCCTCGAACTCACAGAGATCCGCCTGTCTCTGCCTCCTGAGTGCTGGGATTAAAGGTGTGTGCCATCAATGCCCCCCCCCAAAAAAAGCTCAAAAAAACAAAATTTTTGATGATTAAATTATTTGCAATCACTAGAAAGGCTGAAGGCTGACCCAAAACATTCCTGTGTGTGTCTGGTAGACCCTCCATGTCATATACATCAGCCTTCCTCAAGTGGGATAATTAATGTGCTAACATCTACATGTTACACACTTAGCTTTCCACTAAGTGCTGTAACTATCTCCAGGCTCCAATTTTCACAGTCTCATTTCTCAGCCATGCTTCAATGGTCATACTGACTCCATCTCTTCCCTCCAACTCCACAGTCCAGGTTTCTCTACTTGTCCACTCTTCCCTGGCTAAGTGGACTGACTCTCCTCTGCTCATAAGACAGCTGTGTACTGTTCTAGAGAGCAGTGTCGTCCTCTCTCCAGGTTCCTCCTGAGCCTAAGGTTTACAACATAAGCCCAGACTCTGGAGCCCCAGAGCTCCACTTTGGAAGTAATGATGTCCAAAAGCTACAGAGTCCAACCCAACAAGACTCAGCTTTGGAACCTGGTTTAGGGTTACCGTTCCATTTACTAAGTAGAATTGACTCAGTCAACTACTGCACTCTGGAAAGAAAAAAGATTAATTCTTTGCCCTCTAGGGCACTGAGTAATTTTGTGATGGTCCCTTTACTCAGGAATCTCATGATTAATTTAATCCCTATGTTATTTGTAAGTGGTAAATTTTAACTTCGATTTAACAAACATTGAACATTTATTATAAACCCAGGTATTATGAAGAATAAACAAGGGAAATACAGTTTCTGCCTTGTAGAAGCTTACAATCTAAGGAAGTAGGCACAATAAAGCCTCTAACGACAATTAAAAAAAAAGACATAGGTACATATAAATATACCAGCAGGCAAAAGCAGAATCTGATAGCACCAACTATGCTGTTGTAATGTCTTCAAGGACCCAGCTATGACTTCAGAAAAACTGCAGCTGTCTTCAGATATGAGGGGAAAATATATGCTCTAAGACAAATCCATATACTGAAAAGCCTATATGACGATAAGATCTTTACATAGAGCCTCCAGGCCCATCTAAAGTGCTGGTTTTAACTCCTAAGAGGGCCCATGCCTGTGCCTTCATTCTGTAGCAGCTACACTGGCCTCCCGTGCAGCATACCAGACTGCTTCCCTCCCAATGTCTCTGGGTTCCTCTTCCCTAAACCACTGAATTGCCTGAATCCTCTTCCCTAAAACCTCTGAATGACCCACATCTTCACTTCAAAGGCCACCTACAGAGAAACTCTGCACCATCTCTAAAGCTGTCTATCCCTTTATCTGCTTAATTTTCTCACAAGCTAACAAAAACCGCTGATTTGTCTCTTTCCATGGGCTATTAGTTCAATAAAAGTAGGGTTTCTTTATATATTCTCCAGGGTTAAAACAGCGCCTAAACACCACCACTCAGGAGGCAAAGGCAGGAAGATCTATGAATTCAAAACTACCCTGGTGTATATAGCAAGCTCCAAGACAGCCAGACCTAAACTGAGAGATCCTGCCTGAAAAACAAAACAACAAAAAAACAGTACCTAACAGTATCACAGCTGCTTGATAAAACACTAGTTAAGTATCACACACCCACAGGGTTTTTTTGTTTAAGTTTTCATTCATTTGTCTCCCTGCCCAGGTCACACGTACAGATAGGAAAGGGAATTTGGCTTATGTTTTTAAAGAAAGCAACCTAGAAATCACTTCATACAAACACTTTTCCAAATAAGAAAACAGAAGTCCCAAAACGTGAGTTTTCCCCAGGATAACAGAGCTAGTTACAAACGGGGGGGGGAACCTAAGTCAATGATGACGTTAATACCTGTGTGACACGGTGTAAGAGAACTACAATAATGAGCTGGGCATGGTGGTACATGCCTGTAATCTCAGAAATCTACCATTAAGGCAGAAGCAGGAAGGTTAGGAGTCCAGAAGTTCAAGGTCATCCTCAGCCACCACAATGGGTTTAAGATCAACCTAGGCTACAAATACCACCCATCTCAAAAACAAAACCTGTAATCAAAAGAATGCACAATGGGAAAAGTAAAAGTATACAGAGTAAAACAATTCTCTATGGGGTAATCTAAGTTATCCAATTGTACCCAAAGGACCTAATTCATTCCTTCCTCTGAACATCCCAACGTCCCTATGCACTACCTCATTTCCAAGTATCACTATCCTTGGCCATTGTGAAAGCAGTCAGCAAGTAATAGACCCTAGGCAAAAGGATGGGAAAGCAAAGAGATTAACTAAGACTAATAGAGAGAAGAAAAAAAGTGACTACACGCGTCTTCAGATGTGTGCACACGCCAAGTGAATGTGCCCACCAGCATCTCTATCCGGTGGTTCCTCTTTATCATCCAGCGCTAACCCACCTCCCTGTCTCACCATTCTTCCTATGCCTCTAGACTGGCCTCACAATCACTCTGCCCAACACACTACTTCTAAGGGAAATAAAAGCCAGCAAACAAAAGAATTCAAAAATAAACACCCAGGGAGTCCTTTTTAACTAGACCAACGGAGGTCATAGTGTGGGGTTCTGCAAAGGAGACAAGAGGCACATTGCAAACATGCCAGGCTTTAAGTACAGCTCCTTCCCTGCCACAGGAAGTCAGGCAAAGCACAGGAAGTCTTCAGCACTGCAGAGATTTCCACGAGTGGTGTAATGGAGAGAGCACAGGAATGGGAATTAAACCAGCTATCAGGGTGGCTTTAGTCAAGTCACCAGTCTTTGTTAAAACATGCTGGAACCTGAGCACACCCTTTCCCACCACACACACACAAGGATGCAAAAGTACTAACTCTTCCCTCAAAGTGCACATCAGCTATTCCACGTAACTCTTCCAAGTGTATTAGATTGAGAAGCCCTAGTGGAAAAAAAGATGGGTATCTCTAACATTCTATGGTTCCAAAAGAATTAAACAGCATCCCATTGCTGATGAGTGCGCCTCTCCATTTCATAACCAGTGTTTTCTAAACAGAGACCAAATCCTAAAGCCTATAAAAGATTCATGCCCTTCCTCAAACTAAGTAGTAACCGGCAGCATCAGTATCTTTGCCAACCCCTCATCAGTATACCCTTGAGGCCACAACTCAGAAACCAGTGTCATAACAAGCCAATAAATTTTCTTTTCTATTCCAGGACACTAAGGAACTCGCCTTACGAGTGTAGAACGCAACGGATAAAGCACAAGAGGGACAAGCCCGGTGTCTGTCTCCAGACTTATTAGCACGCTGCACAAAACCGCTGAGACTGAACACCACGGTGCCTCCACACTACCAAACTCCGCGGACTTCTCAGGACTCCCCGAGTAAACTGATTGAACCCACAAGCTGAGCCACATCCCCTTTCAGCTCTCTCCAGGAGTTGGCTGGCTTTTCAGTCTGTCCACGCATGCCGCTCCCCTTTCCCCATCCCAGTGTGCCCAGGGTAAACCAAAAGGCGCCCCGTTCTTCTCGGGAGCTCTCCCACTAGCTTCTCTCGCCCTCGACTCGGCCCAACAGCTCTCCTCCGGACAAACAGATCCAGGATGCTCAACTTCTCAAGGAACTGGGGACGAGCTGAAGAAACAGACTGCATCCCGATCCTGTTCAGTCCCCCAACTCCAACAGGAAAATCCCACTCGCCCGCGCTGCCGGCGGGGCCCCCCTTAGGAAGCACAACCCCTGCACCGGGCCCCAAGCCCACTCTCCAGGCAGGCCCACCCGGCGCCCCGAGGCCCGAGCGCTCCGCGGCCCGCCGTCACCGGGCGCTCGTCCCGCGCGGTCACCTGCATCCCGCCGTCGGCCGCCTCCTCGGTGCGCGGCCGCTTGCTCAGGCCGGGCTCGGGTCCGTCTGCCCCCGCTCCGGGCACCGGCAGCTCCAGCTCCGACTCCCGCTTCATGCCCCGGGCAGCGGCACCGGGCCCGAGCTGAGGCGGCTGCTGCTGCGGCTGGCCGCCTTCCGCCATCCGCCCGCGCCCCCTTCGCCTCCGGGAGCCGGGCGACCCGCGACAGGCCACCTCCCCCTGGGCCTTGGAGCCGACAGTCGCGACAGGCGGGCGCGCGCCGGCCCCGCCCCCCGCGTGCGTGCGTGCGTGCGCGCCGGCCGGGAATCCCGCTTCGGCTTCTTCGGCTTCGCTACCGCTCCGGCTCGGGCTTCGGCTTCGGCACCGGCTCCGGCTCGGCTCCGGCTCCGGCTCCCGCTCCTGCTCCGGCTTCGCGCCGGCCGCTCGCTCGCTCGCACGCACGCGCGTGCGCGGCTCCCTCCGTCCCTTGGTCCTTCAGTCCCGCGCTCCTTCACCACTCGCCCGCTGCGCGAGGAAGGGGGCGGCCCGGGCTCCCGGCGTGGGGAGGGCTGTTTATTTGGGAGGAGGAGGAGCGCGAAGCCGCAGCCAGCTCACTGGTCGGGATCCTCCGTCCCGCCACTGTGGCAGCACCGGGAAGGCGGGGAGAGAGAAAGGAGGGAGAGAGGGAGGGACCTGGATGTGTGGGATTCGGGCCGCCCGCGCGAGAGGAGGCTGTGGTGAGGGGGCGTGGCTACGCCCCTCGGCAATCGCCGCCTGCCTCCGCGCGGGCCGCCCGCGGAGGCCGTGAAGGGATCGGAAAAGCTCGGGAATCTCCGGGATGCTCAGGGAGGCAAGGATCGGGAAGGGTCCGCCTCTTTTAGGGCGGCGGCCGGAGAGCGGAGCTGGAAGGACCCGGGTACGGGGCAGCGGCTCAGACTAGATGTATTAATTGTGCGAAGTGGGTGGCTTTTTCTCTCCCGTCTGGCTGCCTGGGATTTGGGGGAGCCGACGGGCGCCCGGCGAGAGGAGGGTCTCTTTGCCTGCCTCCTCTCCTGCCCAAGAACTGAGAAGTCTAGGAATGAAGACTCATATGCTTTTCTATGAGTAGAATGGTCGCATTCCTGATGAGCTTAATAATGCTCCATGCTTATAAGAGCTTTACGGTTTACACAATGCAATCACGGACCCGTTTTCGCCTAATGGATGAACCTGAGTTTGCTCAAGTCCTGGAGCTGAAACGTGGTCGGTCCAGGTCGCATTCTCTTGTTTTTACTCTTTGCTACCTGAGTACCTCACTGCTTATCAGCTTTGTGCAGTAGGTCTGTCCATTCTGTGCCTGGTTGTAAATGGGAACCGCATCTTCCTCTCTGGGTCCCATACTGTGACATGTACATGGTGAGGGAATGTTACACAATAGCCTAGCTTCTCACCTTTCCCTCGCTTGCTACTTTAAACAAGTTAGTTTGTTTTGTTTTGGATCCTAACTGCAGTATCTGTAAAATAATCATTTGAATCAGTGGCTCCCTTGGTACCTTTCTAACACCGCCCATCTCCATATTTGTCATTTGGTAAATTTCATTTTTCACAGATAGAGGCTGCTGCTGGCATCTAGTGAATAGAGGCTGGGAATGTTGTTCAAAACTCTCCTGTGCAAAGGACAGCCCCCACAAGAGAGAGTTGTCCAAAACAGAATGTCAATAATTCAGAGATTGAGAAACCCCGGGCTAGATGATTTCTAAGGTCACTTGCAACGAGTCTCTGACTTGGCCTTTGAACTTGAATTAAACACCTGAAAATGGGCAGAGTGTTGAAGGTCTCTGTTTCAGAGTCAGACCAGCCTAATGAGGCCCAACGTGCAAGCTAATGGGAAAAGACTCTACAACTTGCCTTGAAGCTGGCTTTTCCTACTGATTACATTGTATATTTTTAGACTGCAACATCTCACCCATTGACACCTTAGAAGGTCTTGACACCTTATAGAAGGAAGCCAATTAGTGACTCTTGTCCCTCAGTTTCTAAACCTACAATTAGCATAATAATAGTATTTTTAAAAGAATTGTTATGAAGATCAAATGAGTTATGAGTATTAAGAACTTGGTCGTGTTATGATTTGAGTCACAGAGTCCTCCAAAGGCTCGTGTGGTAACAGCTTATAGACTTGTGGCAAGTGTTTAGATCATGAGAACCCACTTACTAGAGCCTCATGACATACACAGTGGGTTAATGCATTGACTGATTCATAATTGGGAGGTGTTGGAGGAAGGTAAAAACTGGGAGGTGAGGACAGATCGGAGGAAGTGGGTTGCTGGAGCCATCATCTGAAAGCCTGTCTCTAATCCCCAGCCTCTTCTCTGTTTATCTCCAACCTTCTCCAATCTACCCAGAGGTAAGTTTGTTCCACCATGGAATCCTTGCCGTACTGTTATTTATGCCTTACTGTCCTCACTCAGACCCAGGAGCCACAGAGTGACCAGGACCTGAAATCATGAGACAAAAATCTCTTTTAGTGGGTAGATACTCTTGAACAGTCCAACTTAATGAGCGTATATCCTTTCCATACTGACACAAACACTGCCGGCTCCGACTGTGGCAGTTAGCAGACACAACAATAGTGGGAACCCTGGCTGAATTTCTGAGGGTGACTCCAGAAGAGCTGCAGGGACCCACCTTTCCCTCAGATGTCTAGCAAAAGAAAAGAGTTAATTATTGTTGAGGTTGCTACATAAGGTGGCTTGGATGAGGCTAAGTAAGAGTCAGATGGGACAAAGCTCCACAAGCCACCCAAGGGTGTAACCACGAACGTTACAATTATTCATTTTTACTAAGCCTCTCATCCCTCCTTTGTAAGATGACAATAGTAATAGTCATGATGTTTTTCTGAGCATTAAATGAAAGCATTTAGCAGAATGCCTACTGTAGTAACTGCTTAATAGGCAGTAATTATTTGTCATCTAATTTGTATGATGCCAATAAGCTGCTGGCCAGGAGCTCATGGATCTGGGAGTGGAAATCCAGACATCTTTTTTGTTTGTTTGTTTTTGTTTTGTTTTTATGAGACAGGGTTTCTCTGTATTGTTTCGGAGGCTATCGGTCCAGCCCAGCCTCGAACTCACAGAGATCCGCCTGCCTCTGCCTCCCGAGTGCTGGGATTAAAGATGTGCGCCACCACCGCCCGGCCAGACATCTCTTAATATGACTGTTTGCAGCACCAACCTGGAAGCACACCTGCCTGCCAGCTCATCATGCTTAGCTGAACAGCTCCCACCTGACTCAAGGGTCTCCTCCAGGTAGCATCCTACAGGAACAGACAGAGCCTGACCCTGTGTCCAGCCATGATAGCTTGAAAGAAACTCAAGGTGTATCTAGGCCCACCTATGGAGCAACAAGGACTTTTTTTTTTTCAAGCCATGGTTGGTTTCTTGAATTTTTTTCACTTGCTAAACTGCCATCTTTAGAATAAGTCTTCCCTCCCTACCTGCTTTGCCAAAATTCTGTCATCTAAAGAATGTCAGATCCTTGAGAAATAAGATTTGGGAGCAGAGCTGCTTATCACTTAAATTATAGCTACTCAGGTAGTGCCCAAGTCCCTAAGAGGTAAAGCAGTGAAGTGGAGGAGTGTTTGGATGATTTGGAACCAAAAGAAAGAGCAGCATGCTTGCAAACACACATAAAGCATTTAGGGAGCAAGAAGGGACTAGAACGGGCTGTGTTAACAACATACGCTCCTCTTGCAGAGGACCTGAGTTTGATTTTGAGCACTCACATGGCAGCTCACAACTGTCTGTAACTCTAGTTTCAGGGGATTCAACACCCCCTTCTATCCTTCAAGGACAGTACACACACTATGCACAGACATTTATGCAAGCAAAAACAGGTAAAAGGTGAAAATAAACTTAAAAAAAAAAGAAGACTGGAAGTCTGCCAAGGAACACAACAAATACAACTAACTGCAAAAGACAGCTCATTCCTTTCTTAAAGATCTGAAGCTACTTGTCTAGAAATAGATACATTGTATAACAGTCTCCTCCAAATTCAAACATTCTGTCCTGGAGGTTAAACTCAAGAAGTGAACAATTGCTAGGCCTCAGGAAGGTCCTGAAACTTAAAAGATTCACAACGCCCCTCCCCCCAAGGCTATATAAGCAGTAGGATCCCCAGAGATTCTCTGACCTATGGAACTGCCTATAAGTCTGGCAATGAGCTCCAGGTATGCAGTTTATGTGAGTCATCGCCCATGCTAGAATGGACTTTTCTTTGATGCACCTGCCTTTGAGTCATCCATGTTGCTGAGATAACCCCTCATCCGCACTACTGTAACTAGCCCTTATAAACTCAATGGCTCACAAGCTATATCTGGGTGGAACTGTTTCTTTGGGCTATCACTGGTGCCCTGTCTGGGGTGAACAGACATGAATTCACATCACCCCAGGAAAAGTCACACACCAAAGCATGAAAGAGTACAGAAGACAATAACATTAAAGACTCTTTACAATATGGGGAGCCGGCTCCATGGTTAAAGCACCTGCTGCACTAGTGTGAGGGCAAGAGATCAGATGTGAGCATGACAGCCTGCCTACCTGTAAGTCCAGCGCTCCAGAGGCAGAGACAAGGGATGCCTGGAGTGAGCCTAGCCAGACTAGACTTACCAATGAACTCTGGATTCTATTGAGAGCCCTTGCCACAAAGAATGAGGTAGAGAGTGACAGAGGAAGACCCTCAGGCCTACACACACACACACACACACACACACACACACACACACACACACAGGTTCACATATGTATGCATGAGACAGTAAACTTTTTTTGTTATTGTTCCTTGGCCTTTCATCTAATATCAAGTGCAGTACCTGTTCTTATTTTAATATCTAGTGCACCCTCTGAGGACTTAAATGGATTTTTGGAGTACAGAAATAGACTACACACTTGCTTGGAAAAAGAAAGAGAAAAAGAATTTCCTAGGAAAAAAAAACGAGAAATTACTGCTTTCCTGACATCTTTTCATCTATCCATTTAACAAATTATGGACAGGCTTCTCAAATACCAAGATGACTAAAATTTGTTCTTAGTACCAAACAGCCCATCACACAGGAAGAAAGAATGAACAAATGAAAAGCTAATTGTAAGCCGGGCATTGGTGGCACATGCCTTTAATCCCAGCACTCGGGAGGCAGAGGCAGGTAGATCTCTGTGAGTTCGAGACCAGCCTGGTCTACCGAGCGAGTTCCAGGACAGAGTCCAAAACAATACAGAGAAACCTTGTCTCAAAAAACCAAAAATAAAAATAAAAAGCTAATTGTAATACATCATGATTGGAGTTCATCTCTCACAGCAGGCAAGAATGCGGAGAGACTCTGGCGTCAGCTAGACA